CTGAACACGAGTCAAGCCTGAGCTCGCTCAAGCTCGGCTCGTTTACAGCCCTACATAGAAATAGTCTAGAGACCATTTTTGATATTTGTCATGTTCTGCTTGGTTTAGAGATAGTAAAAGCGAATAAATGAAAAAAATAAATTTTATCATTTATCACAATGAGGAGAAACTGAGTGTAAAATATTTTTTCTTTTTATCTTTTACTCACCTTTGGTCGGAAATTATCAATAAAAACAACTGCATTTGTTTACATTTTCCGCCTAAATCTAACTATTTAAAAATTGCATTAGAATCAAACAGCCAATTTAAAATTGTGAAATAAAATACATTTGCATCCTCTCCGATTCCTCCGAACCAAATATATTCAGTATTTTTCTGAGTGTGGTTTATGGGGAGGATACAAATCCTAGCTATGCCAAAACTGAGGCCACCTTGAATAGTAGCAACGGTTGTCACTACTGGAGCGCAAGTGCTGAAAAGCTTGTAGGCACTAAAATACCAAATCAAACCTGAAGAGGACTTTTTACCTCCAGTGCCATAAAGACTAGAATCAGAGCCATCATACCCCTATTTATATATATTAGTACATTACCAAATACATTCAATCCAGTAGCACAAAACTGTTGTGCTTACCAAGGAACACAAAGTCTACAATGCAAATTTTGAGCCTTTGATATAAAGTTTTTAGACAAAAATGAAAATAAGTTGATCAGAGAAGACTGATATTTGATACAAGATATTTATATAATAGCTGCAAGTTTACCATTTTGTATTATAAAATGTAGTAAGAAACTCACGTTCCGTTATTTTTAATCTAATAGCATGATAATTTGCCTTGTACAACTAGAATAAAAAATTGGGGCATTCACATACATGCCACCCAATACCTATGTATTACATATCTAACAACATGCATGCCACCCAATACCTATGTATTACATATCTAACAACTAAACGTTGCTTCTAACATTTATACTTCTAAAAAGTGAAATACACCTTTTTGGGTAAGGTGATTTGTATGTAAAAATTAAAGTTTAGGTGTTAAATGTGTAAATACATAAGATCTTCCAAAAGATTGAGGTACACATGACGTAATTTGTTTTCCTAAGAAGAAGACAGAGCGTGAATCTGGCCACTACCAAGAAATGCTGGACGAACCTTTAATAACAAATTGGGACAATAGAAGGCTTGCGAGTTGCGACAACCCTCCATGAAAAACCAAAACTTTGCCCCACAAAGATAACTTCCACATAAAAGGCGACACAAGCAGAAGGGTATTAAGCAATGGAAAACTTGATATTTCCTTTTTATTTTGATTTAGTTTATATGAAATTGGAATTAACACATTGAATTTCTAATACAAAAAATCAAATGATGGGTTTTTCAACAAACTTAACTTGTTGAGGCAATAAGCTTGCTCTCCAAGCAAGTGCACCCTGACAGAATAAACGTGCCCCCTTGGAGGAGCAAATGTTCGTGGACCGTGAAGATAAGTGCATGCTTTTGGAAATTATCGGCTTTAATCAATATATTATGAGAATATATTTAAAATTTATTAGATTTCTTCAAAAGGGGTGTAATATAATTTTGCATTTATCATTCATATATCACATTAAATTAAAATAAATTCCCTAAATTTTGAATTCATCAAAATTAAATTTGAGATCCCATAACCAAAATTTACGTTTTTTTCACAAGATGGGTCCCAATTCGGGTGTCCACCGATGCCACCACAATTCCCATATTTTCCAACAAAGAGTGCCGAGATAAACATAACCGGCACGCACACAAGCAGACAAAAAGCCGGTGATTGAAAGGAAAAAAAAAACAAAAGGAGCGGATAGGATCGTAAGAATCAATACAAAAGAATTCGGCTCACCTTCTTACACTGTAGTCTCCGGTTTTCCGCAATTAAAGCCTCGAGCTCCTTCCGCTTGGATTCCACTCTCTGTCATTTTCCCATAAAAATAAAATATTTATAATAAAATAAATCCATGAACAATCTCGCCCGCACAAAAGAAGTATTAAAAATTGAACTTGAATAAAAAGCTTAGCACCAACCATTCTGAGCATTGTGTTCTCATCCACCAACAATCTCTCCTGCGCCTGGAGCTCAGTGAACATCTGTTTTAAGCCATTTTAAACAACTCGATTAATGATAATTTTAGAAAAATGACATTTTTAGTGATAATGAGCTTAAGGCCACGACGGTTAAAAACAAGTGCCCACCTTCCTCTTTCCCAGTCTGACGGGCTTAGTCGAAGTGATTCCCATACCAGCCAACGGCGCCTGTCCGACCCCGCTAACCTGAAACGCCAGCACAAAAAAATTCAACACGTGTCATTACATAATTGGCCGTTGGCGGCCTACCATATGGGTGAGTCATTCTGTCATATATTGAAGGAAAAAAATTAAGTTGAAGACTATTTTGATCAAATCTATGGATAAGATTTATTTTTTTATTTAATTCAAATTGAGATAGTATTAAAAAAAATTAATTGAGCATTGCATTTATTTTCACTTTATTTTTACATGGTCTAAATTTATTTAAAAAAAACTGTTTTGATGTATAATTATTAATCAATTAATTAGTTATTCCACTCCCACAAAATGAAAACAAGAAATTTAAGAAAATTTGATGGATTTTGGATTAGGATTAGGATATATGGCCCTGATTTTATTGGAACAATATTTGGCCGGATTTTATTTCCAGGAGCTCGATCGGTCCATTGCAAATCACTGAACAAAGATAATTTAAAGAAAAATGGGAAGCCTTCACGTGAAAATAATGCGGCACGCTTCCAGAAACGAGGGACAGGTAATCCGAAACGCGACACCACTTCCGTTCCGTATCGGCCGGAAACTTCCTCATAACACGTGACAGTCGACGAAACAGCCGATGCTCGGGCGTTGCTCCAATTCACTTTCCTCTCCAGCAGCTTTAAGAGATTATTTAATCAATAGAATTTAAATAAGAAAAAGTCCTTCACGCACTCAAATTTTGATTTATTTTACTCATCAATATTTAAATAAAAAAAATTAGCATATTCATATATTTATATGCGTCACAATTATATATTACTGAAAATTAAATAAATAGATGATATTATGAGTGGAAATAATTTCATATCAGTTTCATAAATAGTCCATATTAAATGTTTCACGGGAAATTAGCCATTTTTTTTAATGGTGCGGTCGTTAACTATTCAAGGTATTGTCTTCAAATTTGCTCTACAGGCGGATTTATGCCCAAAGCTAAAATTTGCAGCTTTTACTAAAAGAAAAGGGTCATTTACATAAATACCACACAATTCTTTTGTAATTACATATCTAACACCTAAATTTTCATATATATATATACATCTAAAATCACATATTTCATATTTAGGTTTCTGACATTAAGTTAATACTATAAAAACAAACAATATGTACATAAGAATTGTGTGTTTTGTATGGAAATCTCCAAAAAAAAAATGTTATTTAAATTTAGCAGACGAGGAGAGCAATAAAGCAAAATCCAAACAAACGGCGAAGAAGAGTTAACGAATACCCAACGCAGAAAACCTCCCACGCATTTTAATTAATTATCTTTTTTTTTTTCCTTGCGGCGGGGAGAGATAATTGTTTTCCCCACTAAAATTGCGGAGGATAAAATCCAAATCCCGTGGAGAAAAAAAAAATATGGCGTGAGAATAGCAAATAAATAAATAATATATTTTTTTAAATAAGGCCATAACTACCTCCACCTGCTCAGCAACACGCGAAACCGCACCGGGTGATAAAAGACAGTGACGATGGTGGCGACTCCGTTGCTCTTATTGATGAAAATGCCCTTAATTATACCAACTATGAAGAGGTGGAAGGGGGTATTATGGTAAAAAAACAGACTAGAAAGTGGGGTTGGGGTCGGCGGCCTCCTGGATTCGCAGCCCTAGACCCTAAACCCAATAAATCGGCAGACTGACTTGACCCCACAATCTTCACCTTATTTACAGAAATATCCATAAAAGTGCAGGGCAAACCAATTAATTATACACACGCTGTTATCGAATTCAATGATGCAGAAATCGGAATCGGAATGCAGTTGACGTTTCATCATCTAATTTTTCAAGATAATCGGATTTGAAAAAAATAGAAATCGTTATTTCGGCTTGTTGTGAGGGTAGTTTGGTCAAGAGGAAGAGACCAGGAAGAAAGAAAAAGGTAGATGAGCGGAAGTCTGCGAGAGAATGGACCTTTTGATCGACGTCACAGAGAGCGACAGAGGAGTCGCCGGCTCGGCGGCGGTTGTTCGTTGGTATCGCTGACTGGGAAGGAGCATCGTCACTGCCGCTTGTTGAAGGTAAGTAAGTGGAGGCGAAGTCGAGAGGTGTTGCGGGACTAGGACGGGTCGCATCAACCGGAGCCGACGATTGGTCCTCCTGCTCCTGTTTCGAGATGCAGCAGCAGCGAGATCTCCTCGATCGAAGCCCCCATGGGGGAAGAAACGAGGAGGGAATCATCTCAAGGTTCGTCGATGGCTTCGACGGATTCAACGGATAGACATCGCATATGGTCACCGGCGGCCGGCTGAACGGCAGGAGGCTGCAGAGGATGAGCGTCTCCGCCGCCTCCAACATCTGCTTGTCGGCATCTTCCATTAGGTTGTCGATATAGGATATAGGGAGAGAGGGAGAGAGGAAGAGGAGGTTGGAAGAGGATATGGAAGAGAAAGTGATATGTGACTGAAAACCTCGTCGTCGCTATTTATTAGGGCGTGAGGGGGCGAGACGGGGCGTGCAAGCTAAAGGGATGGGTGGGGATCGGACCGCCCGGTCGGTTTGTTTCATTTAGCACCGGTTGAAGTGGACCGCACCGGTGAACTTCTACATCATCATCCGTCTACTGCCTGGACGGGGCGGAAACGAAAACCCGCACCTTTGGTCCGTAGGTCTGTATAACAGTATAACAGCGTC